CTGAAACATTTCCAAATTTGAAATATAATGACAGAGAAAGACTGAACAATATTTGCTCAGTACAGGCTCTGACTTTAAAATTCTTACCTGGTTGCAGTTGGAGACACAAAGCATCCTTCAGCTTCAGCAGTAGCTTCTTAAGTTCCTCCTCTTCACTCATCTCCTTCTCATTGAATGGCACTTCTGCTGCGATGGGACTACAAGCTCTGGGCATAATTCCTTGGGGAAGGTTGCTGGCATTTTCAGGTTGTGATTTCCCCTCCCAATCTGTCTGAGGAATCCCTTTCTCTTTTGATTTTTCATGCTCTCTCATTAAGGGATTGCCATTCTGCAGGAGTGTTGACCCCAAAGCGGTGCCTGATGATCCTGGGTTCATTGCTACTGGCTTAGTCTGTGTCTGTGGTAGCTGCCTTTTTTCTGCAGAGGAGCGAGACAGGGACTTCCACTCAGTGCAGCTAGTGGGCATAGGCTTTGCCAAAGCCGAATCTGATCCACTATGAAGTTTTCTTTCCTCCCACGGGTCCTCACTTTTTGGCATCATATTTTGGAGCAATACAAATGAAGACTGGTTTGGTGGCTGTAACATTGCCTAAAATGAACACAACACAGGAAACCTTTTTTTTTTTACAAAGCCTGATACAAAGGCCATTAAAGAGGGAGGATGGTCTTGTGGTTAAAGAACTGAAATGATATTCAAGAGATCTGGTTTTAGTTCCTTCCCATCAGTGAATCTCCATGACTTAGTTTCCTCACCTCTAAAAAGAGGATAATATTGTTTCCTTTATCTGTTTTGTCTAATTATAGAATCATAGCATCATAGAACCATAGAGCTGGAAGAGACCTCAGCAGGTCATCAAGTCCAGCCCCCTGCTCTAGGCAGGACCAATCCCAACTAAATCAACCCAGCCAGGGCTTTGCCAAGCTGAGACTTAAACTCCTCTAGGGATGGAGACTCCACTACTTCCCTAGGTAACCCATTCCAGTGCTTCACCACCCTCCTAGTGAAATAGTTTTTCCTAATATCCAACCTGGACCCCTCCCACCACAACATTGCTCCTTGTTCTGCCATCCGTCATTACTGAGAACAGCCTCTCTCCATCCTCTTTGGAACCTCCCTGCAGGAAGATGAAGGCTGCTATCAAACTCCTCTCACTCTTCGCTTCTGCAGACTACACAGACCCAACTCCCTCAGCCTCTCCTCATAAGTCATATGCTCCAGCCCCCTAATTATTTTGGTTGCCCTCTGCTGGACCCTCTCCAATGCGTCCACATCCTTTTTGTAGTGGGGGGCCCAGAACTGGACACAATACTCCAGATGTGGCCTCACCAAAGCCGAATAAAGGGGAATGATGACATCTCTAGATCTGCTGGCAATGCTCCTCCTAATGCACCCTAATATGCCATTAGCCTTCTTGGCTACAAGGGCACACTGTTGACTCATATCCAGCTTCTCATCCAGTGTAACCCCCAGGTCCTTTACTGCAGAACTACTACTTAACTGGTTGGTCCCCATCTTGTAACAATGCTTGGGATTCATCCGTCCCCAGTGCAGGACTCTGCACTTGTCCTTTTTGAACCTCATCAGATTTCTTGTGGCCCAATCCTCCAATTTGTCTAAGTCACTCTGGACCCTATCTCTGCCCTCAAGTGTATCTACCTCTCCCCCCAGCTTAGTATCATCTGCAAACTTGCTAAGGGTGCAATCCATCCCCTCATCCTGGTCATTAATAAAGATATTGAACAAAACCGGTCCTAGAACCGAACCTTGGGGCACTTCGCTAGAAACTGACCGCCATGCTGACAAGGAGTAACGTGACAAGCCTAATTCGAACTACCTACTCCATGCCGCGTGTAGCCGTGGGCACGGAGTCCGCACTAACGGGAATTTAAAAATGGCGGCGCCCAGCAAGATGCAAATGAAGCCCGGGATATTTAAATCCCGGGCTTCGTTTGCAACTTCGAATGACTACATTAACCACCCTAGTTCGAACTAGGGTGGTAGTGTAGACATACCCTCTGTCATCTGACACCACTGAGAACAGCCTCTCCCCATCCTCTTCGGAACCTCCCTTCAAGAAGTGGAAGGCTGCTATCAATCCCCACCCCAACTCTTCTCTTCTGCAGACTAAACAAGCTCACTTGGAAGAGGGGAAAGTAACTGGGAACAGTCAACATGGATTCACCAAGGGCAAGTCATGCCTGACCAGTAACTTTCTATGATAAGGTAACCAGCTCTCTGGATATGGGGAAGGCAGAGGACATGATATATCTTGACTTTAGCAGAGCTTTTCATATGGTCTCCCTCTTGCCAGCAAGTTAAAGAGCTACTGATTGGATAAATGGACTATAAAGTAGATAAAAAGCTGGCCAGATTCTCGGCCTCAGTGGGTAGTGATCAATGGCTCGATGTCTGGTTGTGGTTGGTGTAAATCAAAATGCCCCAAGTGTCAGTTCTGGGTCTGGATTTGTTCAACATCTTTATGACTTGGATGAGGGGATGGATTGCACCTTCAGCAAGTTCACAGATGGCACTAAGTTATTGGGGGTGGGGGAGGAGGTAGAAGTGCTGGAGGGTAAGGATAGGGTCCAGAGTGACCTAGACAAATTGAAGGATTGAGCCAAAATAAATCTAATGAGGCTCACCAAGGACAAGTGCAGAGTCCTGCACTTAGGATGGAAGAATCCCAAGCATTGTTACAGCCTGGGGACCGACTGGCACTGACTGCAGAAAAGAACCTGGGGATTACAGTGGATGAGAAGCTGGATATGAGTCAACAGTGTGCCCTGGTAGCCAAGGCTAATGGCATATTAGGATGCATTAGGAGGAGCATTGCCCGCAGATAGACAGAAGTAACTATTCCCCTTTACTTAGCACTGGTGAGGCCACATCTGGAGTATTGTGTCCAGTTCTGGGGCCCTCATTACAGAAAAGACAGGGATGCACTGGAGAAAGTCCAACAGAGGGCAATGAAAATGATTAGGGGGCTGGAGCACATGACTTATGAAGGGAGTCTGAGGGATTTGGTCTTAATTAGTCTACAGAAGAGAGGAGTGAAGGGGGGATTTGATTGCAGCTTTCAACTGCTTAAAAGGGGGGTTCCAAAGAGGATGGAGCTAGGCGTTCTCAGTGGTGACAGGTGACAGAACGAGGAGCAATGGTCTCTAGTTGTAGTGGGGGAGGTCTAGGTTGGATATTAGGAAAAACTATTTTACTTAGAGGGCGGTGAAGCGCTGGAATAGGTTACCTAGAGGGGTAGTATAATTTCCAACCCAGGAGATTTTTAAGTCCTGGCTTGACAAAGCTCTGGCTGGGATGACTTAGTTAGGATTGGTCCTGCTTTTAGCAGGGAGTTGGATTTGATGACCTCCTGAGGTGTCTTCCAACCTCATGAGACTGTGATCCTCAACTATGAAGACTGATGCAATGAACTGATTGCAATTTCTGCTCAATGGTCTTATTCTCCTGAAGTGCTCCTTTAGCATTGTCCAATGGTTCTACTAGTTGTTCTGCAAACTTCCTGCTTCTAATGTATTTAAATGTGTATGGCTATTATTTTTTGAGTTTTTGACTAGGTGTTCTTCACATTCTTTTTTGTCCTTCCTAACTAGGATTTAACTTGCACTTTTTAAAGGATTCCTTTTTGTCTCTCAGTGCTTCTTTTACTTAGCTGTGTTCAGTGTATTGTGTCTTATTATATTGTACACAAGTTTCATTTTCCCAATTTTCAATGTCTCTACTTATTGTGATTTCAGACTCAAGATGCAGTATGGGCACCTCTACACAGCAGAGCTAAAGTTGAATTAAGCTATGCAACTTCAGTTATGACAATGGCATAGCTTAAGTCAAAATAGCTTAATTTGGCTTTTGGTGCAGACTACACTGCAGGAAGTCAAAGGAAGAACACTCTTTTGAGGGCTATCATGAGTCAAAATAAGAAGTCCTCCAGCACAACATTATTTCAAAGTAATGGCTTGTAGTGTAGACACGCACTCTGTTATTTCAGAATAACGTTAGTTATTCCGAAATAACGCTGCTGTGTAGATGTACCTTGTCTTACTGTGCCTGTAAAAGGAGGAAAACATAGTAGCTCAAGATTTAAATTTCAGGAAAATTATTCTAAAATAATTTAACTATGAAAATCAAATTGTGTGTGTGAGAGCATCCCCCATGCAATGTGTACATGCATATTTGTGTGTGTGTGTGTGTGTATGACTCATGCAAACAAAGTGTATATATATCCAACTATAAGATGAGATGTATTTGCATGGCACATGAACTAATATTTTGAAGTGAGAACATCATTTAAACTTTAGAAATCCAGGGTTACTTTAAATGGATCAGAATTAAAATGCTCAGAAAGAAAAAAGCCAAAATAAGGTATTGATCCACATCCAGGAAAGCCTTTCTTTAATTACCAGACTAGATCTCTAATTCTTATCACTTGACAAGATTGTTCTTTAGACAGAACTGTCCAGTCTTGCTTAAGATGTACTGAGCAATTCTTTTTCAAGACTTTTTTATGGTTAGAATTTCTCTAAGCATGCTCTCACTCATCATCATTATTATTATTTATTTGTAGTGCCTGGAGCCCCATTGTACAGCCTCTAGCACAATAAGCCCCTGATTCACAAACACAGAACAAAAAGAGTCCCTGCTTACAATCTATCTATGTACCTGTATCTATAAGACAAGAGACAACAGGGGAAGTACAAAGTAACATGAGATAATTATGGTGTGCTTGAAAAACAGTGGTCAGAGTATGCCAATAACTAAATTGCTACAATTCTTGATGCATTTGGTCTACCTTTATTTCCAGTCTCAGTTGCTGCAGCTCTGCCTGCATGCTTTCATGGTTTGCTATCAGGACTTGGAGCAATGCTTCTTGTTGGCAGGTTTTGTCATCCTGGGTGTTGTGGAGGAGCAGCATCTTGTCTTTCCATTTGTTTAACTGCTTTCTGAGATACCTACAGGCAACAGAGAGGGTCCACATTTACTGGATTAAATTACCTTCCATGAAAATTCCCTTAAGCAGGGTATGAGAGAGAACAAGTGTTGCAGCGGGGTTGGTGCAAAAGGGCCATAGCACAGGCATAAGAACCTTTCCATTCCGGGAATACCCCAACGCAGGGGCTAGTATTCCAAGAGCTAAGCTGTTTCCATAGCAAGTGTAGGCACAAGGTACATTCTAGGAAGCCCAAGACATGGGAAGATGGAAAAGGTGCAGCCAGGGTGGTACTGGGCAGTGTTCCCTCTAAGATTTTCCATCCGTGAGCAGAGTGAGTTTTGTTTTGTGCACCGATATTGAGTCATGTGCACTTGTTTGGACGCGCCACCATGGCATCCAAGTTATAAACCTCTCCCGTTCCCCCTCTGCCACAATCCCTCCCATCCTCCCCTCACCCCATCCGCTCTGCTGCTGCCCCCTGCTGCCTAGGTTTATCGATTAATCTAGTCGACTATTCTCATTTCCCCTCCTTGCTGCCCATGTATCAGATGTAGCAAAGGAGGAGTAGGAGCCAGTGCTGGGGGAAGCTGACTTAAAAGCTGGTTCCCCCCAGCACCAGCTCTGCAGTGCCACCTGATGCCCCCTATCCGCCTGCTCCCGCGCTGCTGCCTCTATCAGAGTCAGCGGGGAGAGGGGCACTGGCGAGGCTGCAAAGTGAGCGGCCTCGCCCCCAGGCGCCCGGCAGCCCCAAAAGGTTGGGGACCACTGTTCTACTGTATGAAATCAGGGCTTCTTGCGCAAATACTCTGACGCTCCCACTCAGGGATAAGTCCTCTTGCACAAGTGTTCTTGCGCAAGAGGCCAGTGTAGACAGGTAACATCAATTTCTTGGGCAAGAAAGCCTGATGGCTAAAATGGCCATCGGAGTTTTCTTGCGCAAGAGAGCGTCTACACTGGCACGGATGCTGTTGCGCAAAAGCAAATCTTTTGCGCAAAGGCACATGCCAGTATAGATGCTCTCTTGCGCAAATACTTTTAATGGAAAAACTTTTCCGTTAAAAGTATTTGCGCAACATCATGCCAGTGTAGACGCAGCATAGAAGTAATTTCCAACTTGTATTCTGGAAATGATGGAATATTTTTGCTTGTATTTGTAGTAAATAAAATGGATAATGTTACAGTAGTCTAAAGGAAGACTATTTGTGTGAGATTTTTTTTTTTCTTTTCAGGGATGATAGGAGCAGAAATATCTTGCTTGTGTTCATGAACCAATAAAAATAGGTGCATTATTGTGACAATATTTAAAGGGATATAATAAGTGAGAATATATATTAATGAAGTTCTCTGGCACAGGCCTTGAGAATGTGAAAACAGAATAAGAGGCCACAATTAACATACACTGCATCTAATTGTATATATTGTGTACATATTACTGATCCATGTAAGGCCAGACTTTTCCCTTGTTTAAACTGGCACAGTTATTTTGACTTACATGGAATTATGCCAATTGATACCAGCAGAAAATTGGCTCATTAAATTGATGTCCACATGGCAGAATTAAGACTCTCTTAGCACTTGCAAGCTGTCTTATTGAACAATGCACATTAGATCTGTATCTCAGCATTTGACAGCTAGAAAAAATATCTGATGGATACACACATTGCACAAGAATAAAAACCCTTCTTGCTTTGTTCTGGCTTGGAGTTGGAAAGGAAGGGTTGTAACTGAGATGTTATCTGGTTTTAATATTAAAATACTTATCTCCACTAGACTTCAGATTTGTTGTTAACACACCTACCCACCTCTTCTCACTGTGAAGGACTCTGATGGATTCATGAGCTTTTAACAATTCTGCCTTGATAGAGGCTATTGTCTAGAGAAGAAAGAGAAAATTCTGTTTTGAATTTTACCATTGTGCTGCTTAAAATCATATTTACTTTCTAAACCTTGCTGTAATATTTAGGGCATGTCTCAATTTTTGCCTTGAGGTAACTGACTGCCATTAACTTGACATATTGGCACATTTCTAACAGATAATCTGGATACTTATATATAGCTCATACTTTTCCACCATGCCTGGAAGCAGATCCTCAGAAACATGTAAGCATCTTAATTTAGAATATACCTGGTGTAACTGATATCTACCTTCTGACAAAACACGACTCGAGGACTTCCAGTCTGTGTCTTTTCAAGCAGAACTCAAAAACCTGCATGATGTCGGTGTGAAACATGAAAGGAGAATAAAGCTCCTCAGAAAATTCTCAGCCTACAGAGAAACTAAATAAGTCAACTGCCAGCATGACAAGTCTCCAGGGAACCTTGCCAGGTCTTGGAGGGGGCGGGGAGGGAAGTGAGGAGATTGTGGTGGTAGGGACCTTACCTAGCTTCATGCTCCTTTGTTGTTATCTTACTTTGTGCTCAGTGTTATCTTACTTTTAGGTACATTGCCAATCACAAGAACAACACTGATCTACAAAGCCTGAGTTAGGGGATTAGGCTCCCTACACAAAGAATGGAGCTAGACTGTAATTAACAAACCCAAAAACTAAGGGCACATGTACGCAGAAGGACCAAACTCAAAATAAGCTATGCAACTTGCTTGGCTTAAATCGAAATAGCTCATTTTGACTTTGGGCATGTCTACATAGCACTTATTTCAAAATAGAGCACTCTTCCCCCGACTTCCCTTACAGAAGTCGGAGCCTGTTATTTCAAATGTATTTAAATTGAAATAATGTGCTTGCTGTGTAGACGCGCACCATGTTATTTCAGAATAACTCATGCCCTAAGTGGGGAGCTGCCTAAAGCTAGCCAATGAGATATACTGACAAGAAGGGTGTGTGGAAATGTCTATCTCTGTGGCTGTGTCTAGACTGCAGGTTTTGTTTGAAAAATGTAGCCTTTTTTTCGAAAAAACGTCACCTGCATCTAGACTACAGCCGCGTTCTTTCGAAATTAAATCGAAAGAACGCAGCTTTTCCTTCGACAGCGGTACTCCTCATTTCACGAGGAAGAACGCCTTTTTTTGAAAGTGCTCTTTCGAAAAAAGGCGTTCTTGAATGCAAACAGGGCTTTTTCAAAAGAGCATCCAGACTGCCTGGGTGCTCTCTTTCGAAAAAGCGGCTCACTTTTTCGAAAGAAGAGATTGCAGTCTAGATGCTCTTTTTTGAAAGAAGCTCTTTCGAAAGTATCTTTCGAAAAAGCCTCTTTCGAAAGAGGCATGCAGTCTAGACGTAGCCTGTGAGAGGGGTGGTGCTTATCTCTTTCTGGAGTGAAGGACTCAAAGTAGTTTTTGCTAATTGCTGGGGAGAGGCTCATAGACCTCTGGTTCAAGTGCCCCCTTCACCTGATAAAGAGAAGGAATCTGCTCTCTCCTTGCTGAACACTCGAATCAGTGGGCACCAGGATATTCTGAGATGGGCTCCCTCAATCTCTCCCATTGAAGATGTTCCACTTTGTATAAATGAAGATTAATCAGGCTGGATGAGCTGAATAGGGCCTGACGAGTAGGTCACTGCAGGAGACCTGACATAATGGCCGTATGTGGCAGGAAGAGGCCCAGGGAGGCAGCCACAAAGAGTCTGACAGAGCAGACTATTGCTGCTCATAACCTGGGATACCTGGACAGTCGATTGGGAGGACCTGTGTTTCCTTACCAGCCAGTGGAAGGGTGGCATGAAGCCCCTTGCAAGGGGAATAAGGACTGGAAGCCCTGAGAGAAGGGGTGTGAAGACCTATTGTAAGGACACTGGGACTATAATGTGTTAGTTTGTTTGTTACCTCAGAACAGGGGAAACTAAAATTAACCTGGCCAGAGGCCTCAGTTACAAGATGAAACAGACTACGGCGGGGCTAGAGCAACTGTCAACAGCATCAGCCAAGCTCTACTAGGAGGGTAAGACAATGGCGAGTCAACTCTTCTACAATCACCAATATTGAAATATGGCCAAGTTTTTTAAGGGATGACTCACAAATTTTCAGGTTCCCAGTTTGTTTTCCCCTACATTTTCCTGCCCGCTTCCCCCCCAGGGCTGAAGTTAACTAAGGGAACATCTTAGGTTCAGTATTTAATAGGCAGTCTGAAAGCTGATTGAGAATTGGTCTGGCTCTCCCCACACCTCTTCAATACTCAGCCTGATTTGTTCAAGATGGCTGGCTCTCTTTTTCCCTCACCTGAGCTGATGTCTTGTCCTGTACTGGTGCCCAGTTGTCATTCTCAATGTGCTGCACTGCAGGTGACTTTTCAGCTAAGTGCTTGGGTACCCCTGGGGTTGGTCTGTATGCTGGAGAGGCTAGATAACGATGGGCAGGCTGTGGGGAAATGCAGAGCTCTGCGGAGGGCCTGTACACCAGGAAAGAAAGCAAAACCAGGGAGAGGATGAAATGAGAAGCTCAACAGGAAAACTCCTAGGTGCCTTTCCCTGCAATCTAAAATCACAAATAAAACTTCTGTTTTGTTGGGAAGGATGAAATTCAGTTTCATTTAAGACCTGTTTGGTGGATATTTACAAACCGAACAGGCCAATTAGGCAGACAAGAACTCAGAATTATGAAGGGGTGAAGTTCAGCCCTGTGCAACGGGACAGCACATGGTTAAGAGACCTCTTCAGTCTCATTCATGTACTCAGGGCCATCCGGAGGGGAGTGTGGGGCCTGGGACAAACCCTCCCAAACAGGCTCCCCCCTCCTTCCACTCCATCCTTTTCCCAATCTCCATCCTTGTCCCTCTGCCCCCTCCCTCGAGCAACGTGGTTTGGGGGATTATGGAAGCCTGGTGTGGTGACAGCAGCAGGGGTCGCCTCCCCACCTTCCACTCACCAGGCAGGTAGTGGGAGCCTGAGTGGCACAGCAGCTTGCTCTGCTCTGCCATGCCTCCTCCTGGCCTGCTGAGCCTCGCTTCTCCACAGGTGATGGGAACTGGAGCTCTCTGGGGTGGGGCACTCTGCCCCCTGCTCTGCTGAAAAGCCACGTGTCTGGGGGGGGGGGGGGGGGGGACACCGCAGCAGCTGGCGCC